CCAAAGAGTAATCCTTACAAAGTAAATTTTGAAAATATCTATAACGTAAACATGTGCGTCCTCGTTTCAATTATAGAAGTAACAGAAATCCAGTTCGACGAAAAAGTGGTGAATTATGAGAGACTTCTGGATTGGTTCTGGGAGAATCACAACCCAACCAGGAGACACAAGAAGCAGTATCAGTCAGCAATTCTTTATGTAGATAACCAACAGAAAGCTGTGGCCGAGGAGAGCTTGAAGAAGACACAAGTAAGTTGAAATTTTCAGATAATAATGTTCGCTCAAAGCCGCTTGTTCTTCAGCTGTGTCGCTTTGTGCAGGCGTCTCTATACCCCGTATCCGATTATGTTGGTAGCCGGCACTCATTTAACTGATATCTGTTGTGGAGGATCACCAGTAGGTGAACTGAAAGACTGACAAGCGGCGAAGGATATGCGTTGTTTCTAGTACGTCCCATTCAGAAATGAAGACATCAAAGAACTGGAACGCGAAAAATTCAAGATAAGCCTGCCGGTAATCTTGGCATCCATTTATAGTGGTCACGCAAATAAATCGGAAAAAGAGAGAAAGTAAGACGCTACATGAGGAGATAGTTCGCTTGAAATTTTCTAAGTCGAAAATATAGCTAGAATTCAGTCGAAATAAGCTTGAAAAATTTGACACTCTCTTTATTTCCTAGACGTTAAGAAATATCATTAATTCCTTGATAACAGATTCAAAAAAAGAAAACAAAAGTAGGGTCTTGTGAGTTTAATTTGTCTTTTGTGGATCCTAAAAGGCTTTTTGAATTCATTCTTTCGGAGGAAGTGTTGCATTTTATTTCTTTTGTTTTAGCAGAAATATAGTGGCAAGAAATTAGATACGTATATTGAGAAGCTGGATTGCTTTTATCAAGCAGAAGATTACCACCAAAAATATTGGCTTCGCTGTCAAACAGCAATCTTTAACAAGGTTTTTTTTATCCCCTTAACCTTGTTAACATTCACATTCTTTTCACTGTTTAGGCCGTCTGCAGCTTTGTTCTCTTAAAAAACTTTTTGAACCACACAAAACAAAAGAACACTTATTGATGAGACACACTTTGTTTGATCAGAGGCTACTGACATGCTTGGCAGTAACTTCGTAGCTGCTTTGGTCCAAGACCAGAGGAATAAATCATCAGTCCTGTATTTTAATCCTTATGTTTTTGGTCCAGGCTTTATTCCGTTCAATTATTTGTTCGCTTTTTACAGCTAACTTTTGACCCCTCCTACAAATTTTATGCGTTGCGATTTCGATTTTGCATTTTTTTCCCACCTAAATTTTAGTTGAGGGCGAAGTAAACGAAACCTACCTGTGCGTCATAATTGGACAAAACACACGCGACTAATTCATACGAATATCGATTTCGCAAGTTACACTTGATTCCTTCGGTTCTTATTGATTGTTTATTTGATGCGGGTAATGAAATAGTGCTATTTAAAATAGGACATAAAAAATTCGCTTTTCGTGAAAAGGTCCGTTCCGACGTATGAGTGAATTCATTCGAGTCACATCGGAGATTTCGCATCAAATGACTACCCGATCGTAGTATTTTTATGATTCACCGTTCACGTACATGTAGTTCTCTTATTGCAGCTACATTTGAGTGATGAAGAAGTGGTCAGTTCAACGTTGGCGGCCAAAGTCAACGCATTTCTAGCAGGTTACAAGAACTTTGAAGTTCTGAAACAGTTGGCGCTCGATTATGGTTTGGATGAAGATGTTGTGAAACTCATCGAAAGTATTGCTAGAACTGGTGGTGACACCAGCGCATGCCACGTTTGATGATATCAGTAAGCGCGTGCGCTTATA